GCTGTGCTATTTCAATTGCTTGTGTTGGCCCTGCAAAGGAATGTGCCTCTTTGAACTGGACCCAAAACACAATGGGAAGAACGCAAGGATTTTACATTAGTGGAATGTGGATTCCTGCAACTCTTTAATTTGACAATGGTATTAAACAATTTGGCCTCAGAAGTGAATGTTTATAAGCTTGTCAAGTTTCTCAAGTTTTGCTGCGAAGAGGTCCGTGTTGTCATCTAAGGCACGTAGTGTTTTTATCTGCCAGATTAACTGTTTCTCCATGATGGATTAGAACAATATGTAGTAATTTCTCTCCAGTACTCAAAAGGACTTGAAATTTTGGGGTACATGGGTCACTATGACATTTTCTGTGAAGGCTTGGGTTGAATCGGATGGAACATTGGGATCCATACTTCCAAAAGAGATGGGAGGGAGGTTGCGCTAAAGCAAGAATCAAGGTCAGCATAGGTGAGAGGGACACAGCAGTTTCTTCGGCTACGTTCGTTTCCCCGTAGCGAGCATCCTGTGCAGCAGGATGGTCAAGCTCTCACCCAGTGGAGCCATGCTGCCCAGGACTGGGAAAGCAAAGAAAGATTTACAGCTTAACTAGGGATGCTGAACCTCTGTCTGGATAGGGCTGATCTCCTTAGAAAATACTTCGGTTGAAAGTAATTGCTTGTTGGCTCTTCCCTCGCAGCCGCAAGAGAGCATTCATCTTGATTAAAGAATATTTGCAGGTATTTCCTCTTTGCCAGGGTGCTAGAGAGTGTTATCCATGACCATTGCTTTTTAATACTAAAGGAGCAAATTTGTCAATGTTGTCCGGCCATTTTTCAATTTCTACTAGAAGACTCGTAGACACACTTTTTTTAATGTCACCATCATTTTTTCATATGTGGGTTACAAATCACTATGTTAAATAAATTAAACTACTTATTCAAGCTGAAAAGCCTTTAAAAATCTTATAAGGTAGCAGAATAGCCTCACATTTTGGATGGGTTTGATGTATTTAGAGTCTAACCTGTGCCAAAATAGGTAGTCCTAATTAAAACTAATGTTACTCTTGTTTAAAACTAATCTTAAAACTTAGCCAACACATAGACAAAGAGTACAGTTTCATATAAATTAAATTAAATTGTAGTGACTGTGACAGTGGAGTAAATTGGCTTTAGGGTGTGTTTGGTAGGTTTTTATGTTGGTTTTTTTTTTTTTTTAAAAAAAAAAAGCACCTTGAACTGCTGTTTCCTTTCAGGAACATCTATCAACTTAAAACTGAAAGTACCTTGGTAGAAAATGATGTTTTCTTATTCACAGATTAAATTGATTGGAAGTGCTCCTGATTTTACAGTGCATCTGAAAGGGGATGATGCAGGGCTTGTAGGTGGTGCTGCACGCAACCATGATGGTGTTTGGGCAAGGTCAGCTGTATGTGCTATGCCATCGTGTGTCATGGGTGCGTGCGATGGCTGGTATTGTTAAAAGAAAAACCATCGGCACTATTCCTTGGGTAAATCCTTTGTAGGCTGTAGTTTGATTAAACCAGTGTTTCCTGACTTTCTTTGGCAGCAAAATCTGGATTCTGGAGCAGTTTTTAGCTGGATGAGCTTTCTGAATGTTACTGTGCAGGTGTGTAAGCCCTCACGGTGGTGGCAAGAGCTGGGCAGTCAGGGATGATGAGATCAAGTGGCTGGAGAGAGCAGCAGTGCCAACCTCCACGTGTTGCAAATGTTTGGGGAGATGTAGTGTGAAATACTTTGATTTCAGCATCATCCATGTGGCCTGAGAAAGCTTTTCTTGCCCACTGAAGGACGCTGATTTCCAGAAAGGCAGGCTGAAAATGCAAGAGTTCAGAGATGGAAACAAGTGACAAAACCACAAAAGTGGGTTTATTTGGAAGTGTGCCACTATTCATTGTATATGTCTGGGTTGCTTGCTTTTCTTATTATAAGCGAGAAAGTTATGAATCCCAAATAACTTTTCCAAAAGAAACTGATTCCTGCTTTCTAGTACCTGCAATTTAATTAATTTCTTTCAAAGATACTCATTCAGACCTTCATGTCTTACTTATTTCACACTTTTTTTTTTTTTTCTAATCCAGATACTGTCCATGTCCTGTTACATGAACAACACAGCTTTTGTCTCGCTGAAAACAGAAGAGGTTTGTATTTGTTGGTCCTTTGACTAATGGTTCTTGAAGCATTGCTGATGAGACAGAACCTTCCCAGCATAAGCAGAGTCATTTCTGAAGACGTGCAAACAGTGCATTTGCTGCAGGACTGAAGTTAGGTGCAAAGACCTAAGTAAACCTTTTAGCGTAGATAAGGAAGGCTGGATGTCTGAGAATGCTGGATGTCTGAGAATGCTGAGGGCACTGCAGGAAAAGGTCCAAGTGATAACAGCTAATGAAGAGCTGGCTGAAAGGAGGCTCCACTACCCACACCCTTGCAAAAGGCATTTCACAGAGAATTCCCCAAGCATTTTCTTTGGGTTTTGTCCACCCTTCACTGCTTTCTTTCAATCCTGTGCATCATCATGATAGCTGCAAACAGGTGCATGTATATAACGTGTAGGAAATTCCATCTCTGCAGAATCAAAGCGGAAAGAACTAGATGGAATAAAGCATTTACTTGCCTTCCTTCCATATTCCAGATTCGAACCAGATACTTCATGACCCATACAAAAAAAGACTTCAGACAGAACATTTACATTCTGTTAATGTCTAGCTATCCAGCCTCTACAGAACAATTACATATAAAATGATTAATATTTAAACTCTGGTTTACACTTTCTGCAGGCAAGTTTGTGCTTCAGAGACGTGTATAGTTTTAATGGCACAGAATTGGAAAAAAATTCTGTAAAGTTCTGAACACAGTTTTGTTGTTCATGAAATCTTTTGTGTCTTTCTGACATAGTTACTTTGTTCATTCAACAGCTATTTTAATGGGAGTTCCTGCTAAGCCTTATGTGTATGTGTATTTTTAGAAACTCGGCAATTAGAGATGTAACAGTGCTGAGTTATTTAAAAATACAAACTTGCAGAACATGCAGTACTTGTACGTTTCAGAATGACTGTTACATGCCTGCATTTTCTTTTTCTGTTGATTTGGATGCATATGTACTTTAGCTCTGTTCTTTTATCACATTTCCCTTTCAAATATTTTTTAGTAGGCTGTCTTCCTTTAAAAGCTAGAGTTTTTCTTTGCATTCTTTGCGGCAGTTTACCAGACACTTCTGTCAGGTATGTGCTTACAAGGGTGTCCATTGTGTTGAATTTTAACACTTTTTTTTTTGCTGTGCAACCCAGTTTCAACAGCTGCTCTTCAGCTTCTAGTAATGTGCTTTCAAAGCGAACGCATTCTGATTCAGGTTAAGGAGTTGGCTTTTTTATGATCCACAGTGTCGTCTATGTTCTGTTATAAAATTTTAGGGCCCCTTTGTGGCAGGTGCAGGATATCAGGTAAATTACTCCCTTTTTCTGGGTCCTCTGCTGTGCAAGAAAGTAATCTTTTTGTTAAGGTTTTACATTTGATCTCGTTCCCATTGAACTTAGTGGCAAGAATTGGGTTCTTGACAAGTCCTTCCCATGTTGCAAAATAGCTGAGTCAGAAGATGATCCATTAATGCCCTTTCTGCTGTGTCACTGATACCATCTTATGGTGACGTTCCCTAACCCTGCAAAACTCAACTTGGATTCATGTTTGAGGGTAAACGCCAGAGCATGACTTCCGAAGCATAGGCTGGACCGATGCTGAGGGACTGCGAGTGGAGCTGTTGTGTTGTGAGGGTGACTGCAGGCATCGTCCTTCCTCGGGCACCCAGGGTCGCGCGGTCCAGAAGCAGAGGCGCTGGGTTGCTCATCAGAGGAGGTTGGCACCCACGGGGTGCAACCTGGCCACCTCAGGGGGGGCCTCCAGCTGCTGCCGTAGCTTCTCAACTGTGATGGATGGTGGGCAGTGGTGTACAGGTGTGACACTGGGGCATCTCGTTTGGGGTGTTACCTCCCTCCGTTACGGCAGCAGGTGATGTTCAGCGGTGTGGAGGTGGAGTGGTCTCTGCAGCCATATTGAGAAACACTTCTGCTTGGAACTCATCCAGGGGTAGAAAGATCGTTGAGATTGTGAACAGAAATCTAAGTATTGAAAGTAATAGCTTGTAAGAGCTCCAGCTTGTATATAGTAGGCTGTTTACACAGTCTCTGGTGAGGAATCAAAATGTATCATGAGAACTAGCTCCATCTCTTGTTATTCCAGGTCGGTGTCTCAGGGAAAGATACTGAAGAAGATGGAGGCACACTGAGAACTTCAGAAAAGTGAGCCATGAGTCCTTCTGAAAGCTGAAAAGTAGCCCCCTGATAGGGTCATGAACCTAAGACAAGTCTTTGTGTCTGTGCTGATGTTTGGAGTAGCTGGTCTACTCCTCTTCATGTATCTACAAGCTTGGATTGAAGAACAACATACAGGTACAGTAGGTTTTCTCTCTTCTTTTTTTTTTTTTTTAATGTAATTGCATCCGTTACTTAAAAGATGACTGTAAAGTCAGTTGAATACATGTGGACAGTTGGGGGCACTCCCCTCATTTTGCAGTAGAATGGCATTGAAAACAGACTTGTTTTAATTGCTACACTTCATAAGCTTTAAGAAATTTCTTAAGTCACATGAAAAGATGCCCCCCAGCTACCTAATCGTATTGTATCGGCTTCATTTGCAAAAGCAAGTGTTGCAAAAGCATATTCTGTATGCATGAAGCCAAGCAAGTCCAGTTTAGAAATAATTCTGTATGATGATTTCCTGTGGGTTTTGTACATTATATTTTGTGTGGCAAAGCAATTTTTGGAGAATTACTGCTAAGTCTTGTAGGCAAGAATGGTCTTCTAAGTAACAGTAGTCATGTGGAATTATCCTATTCCTTTTTTGTTTGTCTGAGAGGGAGCTAGATACTGGACTTACAAGATGGTTTTATATATAGCATCAGAGTCATGTTGCAACTTCGGGTGAATCTGTGTTAGCATTAGCTCAGGACTGCACTTCTGAGTTGAGTTTTTGTTGTTCTCTGTTTATGATATTTTGGTTTGCACCACAGGTTGATCTAGATTCCTTCATGGATGAAACTAAACCAGGCTATGTACCTCAGCCTACAGTGGATGCTCAGTAGCACCAGTCTAGAGTTAGTCTGAAGTAAATTCCCCCTGAAATGTGTGTAGGGTGGATGGCAGCAAGGTCCTTAACACCCACTGTTTTGCTCTGCACATTCACTTCTGTAGTGCCATGTTACTTGATGGCATATCTTTGATTTTAGTTGTATACTTGTTTTGTTTGGGGATTTTTTTTTTACTGCCTTTTTTTTTTTAGCTTTCCCCCATTAACAACACGGAATGTTCTCAACTTATTAAGAAGTCCTGACTTATGTCCTCTTGTCTCTGTTGCTCAGCTTCCATTTCCTCTGTAAAACTCTTACTTTCGAGTATGCTGATACCATTGTGAAGAAATACATCTGTAAAACCACATTAGTCTTCCGGCTTTATTGATCTGTGCTTTCATTCCGTAAGAGCTGCTAGGCTCTGGTATGTTTTGGAGAGCAGTGGTGAGGGGGCAATCTAGTGCGTGATTCCTGCAAGTGTTTGACAACGACCTTGAGGTTTTTTCTGACGAAGTGCAATGATCACAACATCAGTTTGTTAATGTTTCTGGGCTGGTCTAAGGTATTTACAAGCTTATATTAATAAAACTGTTAAAAGAGGTATTACAGATTCCCTTCGGAAATGTTCCCTTGTAATCAGCTGTCGACACAAGGGTGCTGGCAGAACCAGAGCGCGCTGCCTGCGGAGTCTTCCTTGAAAATCTCTACTGTTGTCAGGAATGTTAAGGGCAGATATCCTTGCTTTCAAGGTAGTTCAGGAATGTAGATCATGACTGTAGATTATTGATTTATTTACTTGCTGACATTCTTCACATTCCTTGCATCTTTTCTTGTGCTGTAATTAACCTTTCTTCTCCTTGCAGTGCTCCCTGTTGCTATTTCTCACTGTGGTTTTTTCACTCCTTTCGTTTGTCTGTATCTATCTACCATTAAAAAGGAAAGGGAAAAAAGAAAATAAAGGAGGAATTAGAACATAATGTATTTTTTTGGGCAACCAGATGCTTTCTTTGGGGTTTTCTTTGATGTATTGCCATAATCTTCTTCAGGAGACAGGCTTCTCCTTGTACACATCAGTCATTTCCATGGGGAAACATTTCTGTAATAAAATGGAAACTATCGGAGAACAGAATAGTGAGTGGGCTTAGAGTGTGACTGCAGTTTTGAGTGCCCTTTTATCTCAGCGGACTGCTGTGGTGACAGCACTTCAGCAAGGTCCTAAAAAAAATAATTTTGGCATTCTCTGCAGTTGCTAGGTCATGCACGTCGGAAAGGGCATGTTGAAAAATCATTCTTTGGTGTCTGCTCTTGCCTATTCTTCTTCCAATTTAACATATAAAGAGCCATTCTTTTTTTATTTCAAACACCTGTATCTCCTCTAAACCTTCTGCAACTTAATTCTCTAATGTTCCCCCCGTACGCTGCGTAAGAGTTAATACAAAATAAAACATCTTTGCATATTCACAATATACATTAGTTTAGTTATGGGCATTTTGCACTCTCCCC